TATTATTAATATCAACATTGCAATTTTTAAACTGTATTACATACTATATTACTGATTCCTAAATTCAAAATCAAGGCAGACCTAAGCGACAGGGAATAAATAAGGATCAAAAGGGGCCGGAAGGAGGTGAGCAAAGACATGTGAGCTTTTAGCAAAGTAAAAGATGAACAAGGAGGAACTGGAAATTAATAACTCACAGCTGGCTAAAATAATAAATTCCTTTGTTTTAACTGGGATTTGTTTTAGTGTGAATAATGAAGGATTTTAGTATTCAGTGCAAGAATAGTCACATTATAAAAAGCAGTGCTCAGCTACAATCAGCAAGTATTCCTCCTTTGGGCACCTGCTGAAACTTTTATGCAGTTGAGAGACTGCACATCCGCTCCCTCCTGTAGGTTACGGCTTCGCAGACTTGCAGCCAGAGCTGATGAGTCTTGGTCATCAGGCACAAGGTTCACACCGTTGCTTCCTACCTCACACTGCTTCCCATCTCAGCCTGTATCATCACAGCACACATGGCCTCTCTCAGTCCGTCATCCTATGTGTTAAATGCAGCTACTCCCACTGACCTGTTCCATTCTAGCCATCAGCCCTCGGCATGATGGAGAAGGAACTGCCACAAAGAGTTAAACAGCAGTCTGGGCAGGAGGGGGAAGGGAGCACACCAAAGCAGTGTCCACATTAGGTTTATGGCCTCTCCCTGTCCATGGCCAGCCACCAGCACTGCTTCAGACACAGTTATGTTTCATGGATAGGAAATGAGAGAGGCCTAAGAAGGTGAAGTACAGAGGAAGCAGTGAAGTTATCTCTTCCTTGTTCCTTCACACTTCTTTCAGAGTGCAGCTACTCACACTTTGTCTCTGTTCGTACACCCACAGAACTGGCCAGCCTGTAAAAAAGCAACTAAAGGAAAAGAACGCTGCTCACTAGGGAAACTGCCTCTTCCTCCTCATCATATCGCCTTAGCTGAGTCAGCAAAGGCATATGACCCGCTCCTACCACAGTATAAAAGGAGGAGCATCTGATAGGGTTTGCATTAGCGGAGCCTTTTGGAGACTTTGTAACCCACTGTGCTCTGAAACAACTCAAATTTGCTGTCCTCCAAGGTCTCTAGATTCCTGTGGGTTATTTTTATTAGCCTGTGTCTGCTTCTCCCCAGGTTTAAAATCTCCGGATTTTAGCTTAGGAAGTTTAACAAAACCTTACTTAAAAGAAATAGATTAATCTTACAGAACGGAAATGTCAGTATAACTAATGGGCACGGAGAGTAAACAGGCTGTTGTTGGGGCACAACAAGAATTCATTTTGCAAACTGTTTTTAATATCTCCCTCATTACACGGAACCTTATTTATGTAGTATCCTGTAAAACAAGGTAATCAAATACAAACTCACAGTAATGACTGCAATTCAAATATCTGATAGAAGCTCACAGAAGACAGGAAATTGGGAGAGACTGCAAATATTAACAAGTCTGAAAATTAAACCCTGTGGAAATTGCATGATTGGAAGCCCAGGCAGATATGGATAGATTCAACTTCCAAAAACCATAGATACAGTTAGCAAGAAAAAAATCTAATAAGTGGTGAGTGCATGAAGCTCAAAGGCCAAAACACCGCAAAAGAACTAAGTCGAATCAAAGTTAGCAAATAGGATATTTGCTCATTTTGGCACCGTCAAACATTTTGACCTGCCTACTTTAAGTGGTGGGGAGGAAATATTTCTTGCATTTCTTTCCTGTTATTTTGACTTAAAAATTCAAAACAGTGCTACTAAGAAAAATAAGATACATGAATGCATTGTTAGATTATTTCCATTTACCACTTCCTTCAAATACTATACCAGTAGAGGGCTCCATTATGCCTCAGCACAGAAATTCAACTGGGATCAAGGATCAGGTTCTGCAGAGGACTGGAGATGTTGCAACAGAGTAAGCAGGAACTCAGCTCTGGCTTTAGGAATACTTTTGCACCCCTTGACTGGATGGTTCCAAAATGCTGAACTAATATCATCCATATATTTTTTAATCTGAAGTGCACTGAGCAAAGGCCAAAGTTGTTGGCGCTGTTCATTCTGGCAGCCCCAGCATGCAAGTCCTGTTATGCAACATGGGCTGGGGTTTCAGAGCTAGAACTTGAACCATCCAATGTGCGGAGCATCCATAAAACTTGCCTTCTGGTTCATCACGCAAGCAATTACACAGGCGTACGTGTTTTGTACACTCACAGTGATGTCCTCACAAGAGGCTGAGCACCCATTTGTCAAAATGAACTGCAGTTCATAGAATAGGACCATAACGGACTTGCATGAAGGTTCTGAAAAGAGAGGAACAATATTGCACACTGATTCAAATGTAGATGCAGAGCAGTTCCATACAATGCATCTATTCAAACAGGCTACACACACACAAATTATTTAGAGGTGGTCAAGGAAGTATAAGAAGCTATGGAAGGAAATCATACATAGGAAAATACTGTGGTAACATTGCTGCAGTGCTGATTCTGCAAGTCATTGAAATATTGTATAAAGCATGTTTTGAAAAAATAAAGCAATACAAAAATTTGAGTTCCTTTTATTTTAGCTGGTGCGTGTCCTCTGAGGATTTAAAGCTCAAACTTTCAAGATTTTTCCTCTGTTGTCCTGAGGGCTAGAGTCTTCCTGGATTGAAAGTGGAGGCTTCAGATTATTAAATGTATGCAGTAGCTAATGCTGTATGGGGAAATTCTAGCTATCAGGGGATTCCTGGTAACACTGAGAGGTCCAGCAAGACCTCTGTGAAAGTGAAAGCGAGGGCTGAGGCTTGCCCCGCACATCCCATACGAGATACCTGACTCACTGCGTTAAAACAGAGCCCAGGATAGATTCACCACCTTTTGTTTTTGCGACCCAGCACCCGAGGTGAGTGGGATCTAGCAGGCTGACAGAGAGCTTCAAGTGGCTGCGTCAAAATAAAAAAGGAGCCAACAAGGTTTTAAAAATGCGTGAGGGATGCCCCGGCAAAGTGCTAGGTGTCTGGATCCGCCCCGGCCCGCCCCCCGAGAGGAGCCGCAGGCCGCGGCGTGGGCAGCACA